GCTTCTCCCTCTGACCCTCCTCCCTCTCATGCTCTCTGTCTCTCATTCTCTCTCTCTCTCAAATAAATAAATAAAATCTTTAAAAAAAAAAAAGATTAAAATATTTTAAAAAAAATAATAATAATAGGTAGAGAAGCACAGGCTACAGAACAGACTATGAACCTTCAACCTTGACGATGCAAAAGCATGCCAGATGCCAGGATGTAGGAGGTAAAGGGGGAAGGATTCCTGAAAGGGAAGTCAGGAGGACTTATGTCCTTTTTGCTTTTGAAAAAAGAGGTCAAGAGATCACGTCTCTAGTTGACAAACCAAAAATAATGGTGAAAACACAGTATGTAGAGTTACAAAGACAATGTAAGAAGATCTACAAATGGCAACAGCACCAAACTCGGAAGTGAGAGTATTAAATCAGATCCTCACCACAAGCATTACCCAGTCTGTGTCTATGACCATACATCCTGAAGTCAATGCATAATGTCTGAACTTGGCCAATTTAGTGACATAACGTTACCTATTAGAAGAGAGAGTTAAAAGAGCAAAAAAGGCAGTTGTCTCAAAGGTGTAAAGAGGTAAGATGGGAAATAACAGTTTTTCATTCTTCTATTTTTAAGATGATTTGCATGAATGATTTTGACCGAGTCACTTTGCAAAATTCCTTTGACACCAGTGCCCCGAAAGTCCTCTCCTAGGAAAAGCAAGGCTGCTTCGCTCCCAGATTGATTTCAGGAGCAGGTCCCTCGTGTTTCAGGTTCAGAGCTGCCAGATGAAGTGGGGGGATGGGGAGGGTGGTTGAAAAGTTGAAACCTATCTTTCCAAGAAGTAAATTCCAGATGAAGGAGATGTGCCTTCTGGTGGCTGTGACACAGCCTTGTTCCCAGGAGCACGGAAGGCCATGCGGGGGTCCTGACTGCCCCAGGACAAGCGCCCTCAAAAACCTCCCGTCCCGGCGGCCCAGAGCCCCGCGCAGTAGCAAGTGGGGCCACCCCAGCTCCTCACCTCGCCACTCCGCCATAATCCAAACCTTCTTCTCCCCGGAACTTCACCATCAGCCGCTTCTTCAGATCCTTTGGCCGCATCTTCATGATCTGGCGGTAAGACTCCTGCTCAGCAAAATGACAGTGTCAGAAGAACAGGTGGCATTCTTAAGAGTTATAGAAAGGTGAAAGGTGTCGGTGATGGAGCCTGAATCAGGATGCACATTCATTTAAATCCGAGTCTGATCTGGTTCCCATTCAGAGTGTTGATTCAGTGTCCCGTATGCAGCAGTTCGTCACCTGATCTCCCCAGGTCTCCCTCAGAAACGACAAGGCAGCCCGTGCCGGGCGAAACCGCACCGAAAGGACACACACACCCCCATTTTCAGCACAATCACTAAAGGCTTAAGAGCAAACATCCTCACTACAGCCCATGTTCTCCACACAATTTAATTTTAATGTGCCATACTAAGAATAGCTTATATATTTTAGTTTTTTTTTTTTTAAGATTTTATTTATTTATTTGCCAGAGAGAAAGAGAGAACCCACGGCGGGGGGGGGGGGGCAGCAGGCAGAGGGAGAGAGTGAGGGAGGCTCCCTGCTATGCAGGGAGCCCGATGCAGGGCTAAACCTCAGGACCCTGAGATCATGACCTGAGCCGAAGGCAGACGCTCAACCAACTGAGCCACCCAGGCATCCCAACTTACATATTTTAACCAAAATGAAGACATCCCTAGAGGATCTGAAGAGTAAAAGAATTGAGCCTGTTTTTATATCTGAGGTGAAGAGTCACATGATTTGCACGGAGTCAAAAAAGCAAAAAAAAGGGTTTAAGTAAGACATACAGTAGCTTACCCAAAACACAGAACAGGTGGCCAGCCCAGCCTTCCCTCAGATTCAGTCTTTTGAGTGGAACTCGCTAAATGTTTGTAGATATTTTCAATGATAAGGCACTTAAGAATCTTTTCATTCTTTAAATGTAATTCAAGCTTTAGCACCCAAGAGGGAAAGAGGACACTGAGTGGAAATGATCTGGCAGCAACATGTCAATAATTCAGCACTTTCCTCTCCCCAGCAACCATTTAAGACTGCTCAATGGCCATTTTGGCCGATCTGTCCATGTCACCCAACACTGGCTGAGCTCGGGTGTCGAGCCTGGCCCTGGGCACTTACTCAGTGCCCATCACCGGGAAGATCTCATTGGGCTCCCTACAGCCCCCGGCCTCGCCCTCCGTGCCCCTCCCCCAGCCACTGCAGCCCAGTGGGGATCTGAGTTCAGTTCTTATCCAGTTGCCTTTGATCACTTCTGCCAGTGGTTCCACAAAGGCAGGCAGGATATGGCCCAAAGATCACTGAGATTTTACCTTCTGATCAGAGGGGTCGCCTGTTTAGTGGTCTTGATCCCACCGGGGAGCTGTATGATGGACAGAACCCTGATTTTCAGGAGCCACCTGATCTTTCTATTTCCAGAAAACACATTAAAAATATGGTGGCCAGTTGGTCACTAAGCTTCTCTGAGGAGGTAAAGCCATTGGGTGAAACTCTGTGTAAGACAATATAAGGAATGATTGGTTCTAAAGAAACCATGCAGACTGCGGGAATATATAATCTGCACAGAGCAGATAAGAGGATTGACAGTATTTAGTACTAGTTTCCATATAAATCTCTTTATTTTCACTTCAGAAGTTCTTGAGCTTTTAAACTCCTACCTAAGCAGAAAATAGTCTCTCTGTGGCCATTCGTCCTGAAAGAGACCTACAATTTGCTGAGTAATAAAATCAAGACCTGAAGGGGCACCTGGGTGGCTCAGTCGGTGAAGCGTCTGCCTTCAGCTCAGGTCATGATCCCAGGATCCTGGGATCAAGCCCCACATCGGGCTCCCTGCTCAGCGGGGAGCCTGCTTCTCCCTGTCCTCCCCGCTCCTACTCTCTCTCGCTGTCTTTGTCTCTCTCTCAAATAAATAAAATCTTTAAAAAAAAAAATCAAGACCTGAAACACCAAACAGAAAGAACTCACTGTCTGTTAACAGGGTTGAACCATCTATGCCTCACTGCTGGTTGCACTGAATCCCATACCTCAAATATTTCTTCTCTGGATACTTCGATGCGGCAATGACCGGCTTGGGGTTGCTGAAGTGAAAGTTCGTGTCTGAGGACCTTCAGCTTCTGGACTAAATCTCTTTCATATCTCTGGGCAGGAAGCTCCTCGTCTTCCACAGAGCCCTCGCTGGGCAATGGCAGCGGCTGGCTGGGCTCCTTTAGTTGGCACTGGTGACTTGAGGAGAAGACAAGCATCAAGGTCACTCCAAAAGCAGCGGCCAAGGGAGCTGCAAGCAAGGGCCCCCCCATACCAAGCAACTGAGAGTTCGTTACACAGAACTTCAAGAAGAAATGTTCTCTCTGCTGACATAACCACGTACAAAGATACGTAAACACTGACAGTGTCCACCACTGGCCTAAATAGAGAAGTCTAGATGTGTCCTAAGTCACGAAGATACCCCAATTCCAAGCCACTGCTTATCCCACACATCCTCACTGCTGTAAATAAAAGCAGAAATTGCAATCATTTATCATGCATCTAGTATGTCTCTGAGAGACTGACTGATGCACTAGGAGATGCGCCTCGGTGGCTAGAATTGCCTGGAGCTGACACGAAAAATTTCACAAGCTGATTATCATAAAGGGGGCAAACAACGCGAGAGCAGTCTACTGGGAACCATTCCTCAGTTTCACAACCAAGACATTTCTAAGCCCACTCACAAAATTCCAGTAAAATCAAGGACTAGGAGGAGCAGAGGGATGAAGTGGCACTTCTGCCCCCAAGGTCAGCTGTCAATGAAAAGGGCTACGTGGGCTCTTACATTCTAGAGAACACGACAAGCCCGGGACACTGAACGTGGGATCCAAGGTAACTCCCAGTTCCAAGTTGTCCGGGAATGACGGGCACAGGAAAAGGCTCCGGTGAGGAGCATTGCCGACTACAGCAGCCCTCCTGGGTGGTGACGAGCAGGCACGAAGGAAAAGCCTCATTTCACTGCCCCTCGCTCTAAGGGCCATGCACTCCTCAGAGAGCCACGTGTGGAAGCTTCGAGAATGGAGCTAAGACTGCCCTTTGGGTGAATTTCATTGAGGCTGCAAGCAAGAAAAGGGGGCAACGATACAGCTCAGAACAGCTCACAGCTTACTTGAGAGCTTGAGATATGCACCTGTCCACCAATTGTTTATCATATTTTACTTAACTTATTCTCCACTAACACACAAGGCAGTAGATAAATTAAGAGAAATATTAGTAGAAAATATTACATTATAAATGTAAGAGGTCAACAAAGATTTTATGAAAGTCTTACTTCATGATGTGATGTAATCTTGGGTCTGTAAACTGAGTGGTTCGGTTATTATGATCTACAAAATATATTCTCCCCGAAACTGTACTTCTGACTTCCCAGCCTGGTGGCAGTGGTCCAAGTTCATCACAATTCACACTGTTAAGGTCTCTACCAAAATGGAAGATAACAGAGAGGTTTGTCCATCTGCGTGTGGAGGCATAAGACCAAAACTTCAGCGAGAGGAGCCACAGGAGTCCCTGATCAATGCGGCCATGGCCCAGTTTCACGAAGAGGGACAGTCAGGGTGCTGCTTACGCCAGACTCCCACCGAGTCCAGCCCTCTGTGCCGCAAGTGGCAACACCCAAGAGAGGAAAACAGAGCCCTCGGAGCCTCTAACCGCGATGCGGAACCTGGTCCACCCGGGGAAGAGCATTTCTTACACGAAGAGGGCCAAGTAGCGGGAAGCGGCTGACTGCTGTCGGAAAACTCTCTGAATTTACGAGCTAAATTAAATGCTCCAAGGTCACAGAGGTGTCTTCACTGAAAAGCTCCCAGAAGCCCGAGTGTAAAGCTCAAGGGGACACAGTAACATGCCTTCGAAATCTCTCAGTTCTGAGCAGGTGCGCCGGGAAGCGGCAACCTCATGCTTTTAGGGGGCTCTGATCCTAACCTCGCACTTAGTGATTTCAATACAGTCCAGTCACGTGGGAACACAACATCACTGACCAGGTCGCTTGTCTAATTAGCACAAAACCTGACGTTTCTTACAGTGGGGACTAAAGAGACACCTCATTCATTTGCAGGTAACATTTCCATTCTAATTATAGATAATGAATCTGAAATTCAACAGAGACTCGGAAAGTCAGCGACAGGAAGCTTGTTCTCAGATGAAACAAATTATGAATAGAAAGGAAATGAGCATTACTAAAAATGTTATTAGGTAGTAATGCTATTCTAAAACAAAACAAAACAAATTTTGAAAAGGAAAGCAAAACAAAGAAAAAAGAAAAGAAACAACTCCATTATGGGATGGGGGAGGGGTGGGGGTCTCTCTGACCTGGGCTCAGATGTATGGCCTTGTAGAAGGAATTCGTATAGAAAAGCTTCATCTCCCCCAGGAATGGTCCCCAAGGGACTGAGGCAATAGGGACAGTAAAGTAGAAGAGAGAAAGGGTAATAGAGTCTTTATATTTCCTTTGTAACGTTTTCTGATGGAAAATTTTCAGCACATACAAAAGTAGAGAGAGACCATTAATAACCCACTTCGACCATTACCAACTCACTGTCCACCTACTTCAAACACACCCCTATTCGCTCCCACCCCCAGCCCCGATTATTTGAAGCAAACCCCAGCCATCCTATCATTTCATCCATTGCTTATTTTTAGATGAAAATGACAGCAACACACCTTGAAGGGCTCATTGGTTTTTCAAGCAAGAGCACATCTGATTTCATCTAGGGGCAAGGGTCTTTCCAGTTACGTGAACTGATTTCAAGATCAGGCCTGCTCTCTCAAGGACCCACTTGTGTGCCAACAGCCGGTGCCCAGGTACCAAAAGGAGTCTCAAGGGGGCAGCAGAGCTGGGACTCCAACCCAGAGAGCCTGAGTCCAAGGCCCTGTGACTCATCCTCTCTGCGCTGCCAAGCTTCTTCCAGCCCAAGGGGTGCTATCAATCAGCAGAGGGGCGGCAGCGGGGCTGGGGGGAGGAAGTCCCCCCGAAACTGCTGGAGAAAGGGCTCTGACTGTGCCCAGTCTAGAAAACTCACCTTGGTATCCTAGGGTCGTGCCATGTGCTAACTCCAGTCTGTGTGTGCAAGAAGTAAACTTGGCCCTGCACCGTTGTTCTTTGTTCTGTGTGAGAAACCAGAGGCGGTGGTTAGTTAGGGTCAATTCCAAGAAGAGTTGTCCAAGAATCTTCTCAGCACAGAGCCTAAGCTTCCTCTGGGTTTTCTTTTGAATCACGGAGACGAGAGGACAGCGGTGAGCTTCTGCCGGACCAGCCCACTTCACAAGCCCTGTGCGCGTATTTGGGCGGCTCGCCCTGCTCCCCCCTGCAGAGCGGTGCTCCCCTTCCCCGGCCACACCCCATGAGGCGCTGGATGTGTATCCACCTGGGTACTGACCTCGCCCTGACCCCAGGCACCTCTGGCTGCTCTCATGTCTGCTATCATCTGCACCTCTCCATGACATTCCTCCTTCCCTGGGGCGGTCAGATGCTCCCGTTTCCCTCGTACCCAGCGCGGTCCTTCCCACATTCACATCACGGAGCGCCACAAGCACCCTCATCCAGCCCACACATCATCTTGCATTTTTTTTGGTCTTCATTTGCCTAAAATTCTCACACGATTGCTAAACTGGGAGAGTGGAGCAATTGCTGACAAATTCATGAGCTATCGCCACCTTCTTTACTTGTCCTTATTCTGACACAGCCGTCCTGTGGCACGGCTTTGCCAACGTCAGCAGTTAGGGCACAGATGAGTCCCTAAAAACGGCTTCAACGGGGAGCCACGGCAGTTGCCACGTGGGACAGCGGGGCAGATTCTCTCACCATAGCCTTCGGGCAGTTCTGGTGACTGGTGGCCGTGGGGTCGGTTCTGAGGCGTCTGGAGTGACCCCCGGACCTCGGGATTTCGGAGTCGCTGCGCCTGGAGTCTTTGATCTTGACTTGGGGACTCCACAAACCTGCAGTCCCCTCCCCCCGCAGCAGCAGCAGTACTGTCTGTGTAAGGGGCCGGCTCCTCCATGAAGCAGCTGAGTGGCCTTCCAGGCCCTGAGTCTTCATACACGGTTCTGGAAGGGAGAGGGGCACAGTGCACATGGGGACCCCAGTCCGAGACAAGCGCCTAAAAACCGACCGCGGTGCCCCCACACCCGCTTGCTGTGCTTTCCCTCAATCGAGATGCCCCCAGTGCCTACTTGTACAAATTTTGTTCTGTCTTATTCAAACAGAAAGACAGACCTCTTCAGGAGGCACAAGCAGCCAAAGGAAGCCATATGTCAAGTGCCCCCAAGGCCAGGTGCAGGAAGCCATCCTCGGGGAGAGCTGAATGACTGAAAAACCCAACCTTGCACTCTAAGAAGCTCGTGAAATGAGATTTCATTTTTCTTGTTTAAAATCAAGTCCAAATACTCCATTTTCCTTGTTACCTTACTTTGTAATAGAACTCCTGGTTATATAAAGTACTGCAGTGACTTTAAGTACTCTCTAACATACGTCTCTACCTCCTGAACAATTCTGAAGACAATTTACCTTAATAGGCTATTCCCTTCACAAGTATTTTTTAAAAACGTCTTACACCGAAAACTTTCAAACATATACAAATTGAGAGACTATCGCCATAACCACCCCCCCCAACAATGACCCGCTCCCAGCTACTCCTCCACTCTCCCCCCTCCACTGGATTATTTTGAAACCAATCCCAGAGTGACTGATTTCAACCTTAAATATTTCAGCATATATCTCAAGAAGATAAGGACTCCTTTCATAATCACAACTAAAAAAAAAAAAGGGACATTGGTTTTTTTAATATCATCAAATACCAGTGTCCAAATTTCTCCAGTCAGTAGTCTCATTTATCGGGATCTAAACAAGGTCCCCACACTGCATTTAGTAGGTATGTCTCTTAAGTCTCTGTTATTATTAATTTGTAGATTCCCCTCCTTTTTATTTCTCTTGCGATGTAGTTGTCGAAGATGGAGTTGTCTTCCATACTCTGCAGAGCGCCCCCTTTTGAATGCTGCTTAGGGCCTTCCCGGCGGGCTGGGCAGCACATTCCTCCATCCTCTGGATTTCCAAGAGGTGTGTTAATGTCAGATTACCTCTCTTTTGTGCTCTTTAAGCAACTATTAATGATTACTGCCCAGCTCCATTAAGGCATGGGGATCACAAAACTGTGACCGTGACCAGTGAGTTCTTAAGGTTTTGTTTTTTTTTTTTTAAAGTGTTTTAGGGCTTTTTTTTGCTCAGTGTTATGATAAACTCAAGAATTTTTGATATATTTGATGTGTTTTCATCCACTGTAGTTATAACTCTTAATGACGCTCAAACTCTTTGGCCAGTGAAAATCTCTTTCAATTGGATCCCGGGTCTTGTGGGCGCGACCCCACTAATCTGTACAGCCTCCTTTCTAAACAGGGAAACCGGACCCCGCCTGTATCCCAAAGTCTTTCCCTGCATGTCAAGCCGTCAGCACAAAGGTGCGAGGGCTACTTTCAGGAAGCACGAGAGCCCAAGGCAGCAGAGACGTGAGCGGGCACCACCAGGGGGATACGTACCCTTCGTTCTCTAAAAGTCCTCTGCAGTCTACCACAGAGCCTCCAGTGCCTATCCTGTCTCGTGTCTGTAAACTGACTAAAACAGAAAAGAACGTCTTGCGTTAAAATCCAGTGGCATTTCACACAATTGTCATACAGCGAGCCATTGCGAGTAACTTATGCAGAATATTATTATACAAAGCAAGGCACATATACATACAGAAACATATCTACTCCTAGGCTCTCAAGTATGAAGCATTTACTCCATGAGCTGCATGCCCCCGCATACTGCTTGGAACATTCCTGGTAAATATGGAGAAGGGGGTGCTGTGTTTTCACCCACCCCATAAAAATAACAGATTCCCAATAGTCGCTTCCTCTAAGTTACCTCATTTTTAAAGAAGATCTTTAATAAGGACACAGAGAGCACTTCCAGTATCTGCGAAGTCTAGATGAATTTAAATATTTATCCTCTATCCCTACTGTGAACAACAAAGACATTTATAAAGTTGCTTCTAGTCATTCGTTTTCCCCCTGGCACACCACTCCCCAGAGAAAAAGAAGTCACAAACAGAAAAGCATTAAGTGAGAACTTTCTCATTATATAACTTTCTCATATATATTATACGGTTTTCATGATGCGTACCCACTGTTCATTTGAGTCAAGTCTCTTCAAGACAATGCCCGAAAGATTTGGTGTCCTAACTCACTCTGGTATGCTGCTGAAATACTAGGTTTTCTCCGCCTCCTTGCAATGCATATAGTCAACATTGGAATTACCCTAAAATGCTAATAAGATGGGATGGATAACAGAACAAGCCACTTGACAGAGCGCTTCCAATGGGATATCTCCAGTCAAGGCTTGTAACTTTAGCACATTTGACTTTTTTTTTCCTCCTCCATACTTCAATCCTAACTCTATAAAATCCCTGTTACACGGAAGTCTTCCGAAGTCATCCTTGCTTTGTACATACATATACGATAGGTCTGCCCAGAGAAACTAGTTCTTAGCCTCGCATGTGTGGCCACCACTCTTATCATAAACGCTTGGAGGAGACAATGACAAATTAATCGTCCATGAATGAGGTGCTTAAAATTATATTTGAGACTATAACCCGAAATGTTTTCGGAGCCTAGTCGTTGTAACTCAACTTGGGATGGCGGGATGAAGGGAATTCGATAAAATAACAAGACCACACAAGATGAGCATTGTTAGTGCTGAAAAGATGGCCCTGGATGTGGCTTGTCCTTTGAAGTCTGTCACCATTGTCAGTGCCTGTGTGTGTTTTCTCGCTGATGAAGCGCTGAATGTTAAAGTCTGTAAAAGCGTCTCTTTATACAGATGAGAAAGTTCTTACCCACTATTTGGCCACGAACTGCATCAGTATCTGAGGGATTTAGTTTGCATAGATCCAAACGCTGGTCTGCAAACAAACAATTCAAAACTTAACCCAGGGAAATGGCAACTAGGGAGGAAGGCAGGAATTGTCTATTTCAGTATTCAAAAGGGAAAAAAAAAAAAAAAAGATGCCTCATAAGCCTTCTTCAGTTGTATTGAGAGGCAGGAAAGCATTTGGTTCTTACATCCGGTATCTTTTAATCTGCTGATGGCGTTGGAGAGCAGCCTCACGCAGCCCAGAAAGCCAGCCCCCTGCTTCTTGTGGATCTTCTTGTGGTTCCACACGCTGATGGTTATAGAATCCGTTTTCCCAACATACCTGAAAACAGGCAAACTCCTTTTTAATTGTCTTTCCGAATTAGGATAGCCCGCTGAGATTTAATCTGATTGACTTGTTAGTACAAAAGAGTCCTCTTCACGTAATGGGGGCTCTCTAGTCCGCATCTGACAGGCACTCAATAAATACACATTGACTCACTTCAATGGTCTGGGAGGACTACAGCCAGTTACGGAAGACGCAAATGGACCTAACTATATCGTGATGATAATATGAGAACAGAGATTTGCTATATTTGCACAGTTCCAAAGAACAATGAGAGGACTCCTAAATTCCCACTAATCAGGCTTTAATGTAGAATACCAGTTTGCACCAAGGGCTACTTAGAAACCCTCAGACCCACCCAAAGCACCCTACAGAGCACTAACTCAGACATCACACCCCCACCTACTCTCCATGCAAATCAACCAGAGGGCAGCTTTCTGGATGAGGAGTGACCACCACCTTCCAAGTCACTTGGGATTCTTGAGGGTAACTGCAATGAGTCTTGGAATCCAGTTACTAAAAATCCCACCCAAACTCCGTGCAATCTGTATCATACAAAACCAAGAATCACTCCAGTTTCCTTCAATGAAAATTTCTCAGCAGCGACACGAAAATGTAGGTGGATATAAAACAGTGGTTTTCAAGCTGCAATCCATTTTAGGAATGAAGGTAAGAAATTGTCTGATGGTTGCATAGGCTGAAAGAGATTCAACCATACCAAACTATATTTACTCTTGTAGAAGATCTACTTGTACTAAAAAGTGGCATTTTAAAAGATGGAAATATATAGAACACATATTTGCATAATAAATTTTATTTATTATTAT